TTGCAGCCAGTTGGGTTACAAAATTAACTGAAAGCAGCGGGAGCAATTTGGGGTGTAGTGTCTTGGAGAGTCTCGCTGTAGGAGCAGGGGATCGAACCCACAACTTTCCAGTTGAGAAACGTCAGACTCTACCAACTGATCCACAGCCGCCCACGGGGGTTGGCGATGGACACTTTTTTGGGTGAAAATGAACAATTAATAAGTGTACAGAGTGAGTGCAAAACAGTTTAAGGAGGGTCTAAGTCCACTAGAAGATATTTGTATTCATGAAACAATAGCAGGGAGCAGGTCCAAGACCGCATAGCAAGCAAGCACTCTACCTTATCAAGCAACTATGAATTAAAAACAGCTGTTGAGTAATAAAACAGTGCATCTCTATCTGAGAAACTATATGCAAAGACAAAACAAAGGCATGTTTTCGAATACCATGTAGTGATGGTTGTTTTAAAGCTACAAACGCTCATAATCGGGACTCTTTTGCAGTCTGCTGTACGAGTCTGATCTGTTTAATTCCAGCTGCATGAACTTGAGAACCATTCAAGACGACATCTTTATTGACTGGATCATTTAAGGAGTCACTCTCTTTCTGTTTGCCCAGTAGTATTCAGGAACTGGGGCATTAAAAAAAAGTCCGAGATACAAAAATAGAGTGTGCCAGACAGACATCCTGCATACATCCTCTGAGGTTTCCTTGTGTGAGACAAAAGCACTGGGGCGTTTTCATCAAGATCAATACTTAACACTAAGGTCAGATCAACCCTCGGGGCTGATGCTTCTTGAGAGGTTATTTGTGAGGCCATGCTTTTTTTTTCTTTTACACAGAAACACTGTTATGAGGCAACTCACAAGAAAAAGGGATGATACGAAAGTAAACAATGCATTTGGCCAGAATAAAGTTGTTTAGTTAACATATGTCACACATTTTACAGTCGGGACAAATAAGAACGTCTCCCATTACAATGCCATGAATACAGCGACACAAGGGTTACTTAAATGCACTCAAATCAAAGCTTGTCCCAAAACCACGCTTGTCAGGACTGGATCATCGCATTTTCAGTTTACTAGAGTATTCACAAATTGCCATTCAGTATGTTTCAATGAAAACCAAATCCCAGAGCCCTTTAGTCTGGGCTTGCCAGAGGAAAGTCAAACAAGTGGTTAGCAAGAAAAGAGCACAAAGGGGGGTCATGACACAAATCCCAACATCCTCTTACTGGATAAACAGGTTTTATTGCCTTGGTTTTACAAACATGCAGGCACACATACACGCGTAAGCTCTTTGTATGGCCTCTTAATAGCCAGCAGTTTAAAACTACTTGAGTAATTAAGGTTGAATCAGATGCTGTTCAGTTTAGAAACAAGTAATTATACAACATTTGTGAAACTCATTTCTGTAAAACATGTCTGGCTTGATTCTACTCCTCTCTCGTTAATGTGTTTAAAAGCTTTCTATAAAACAACCAAAATCTAAAAAGGTCACTTTTACAGGTACCTCAAGAAGACGAGGCTGTAGGAGCATCAGCATTTTTGAAGCAGCGCAAGCTTGAGATAGAAATCCAGAGCCCTAGACTCAATCTATAAAGACACATCTGAGGCGAGAGAGTCTGTTCAACCCAGAGGAAGAAACATGTTTTTTTGAGGAGAAGAGGACACCCCTGACTAAAAGATCGACAAACAGATCTGCACAATATCCCGACACATTGGGATTGATCATGGAATTTTGAGCATCCTCTGTAGACTGACTTGTACTTGTTTTTGTTTATGTCTACTACATTACTAAGACACAACGCAGCAACCGTTTTTATTATTCAACATACGTGCCATGAATGGGACCTTTTTAGTATGACGTGTGGACTACCTAGCACGCCATAAAAAAAAAAGCAAAGTAAAGAGCAGTTAAAGGTTTACACCTGTTTATAAGTCCCTCGAGGAAGTTGGGATTTGGCAATTCAATGAATTGATGCAAATTCAACAAATTACAACACCTTTTTTTTTGCCACCATGCAACTTTGGCCAATCTTTCTACAAATTGGACAATCACCCTAAAAATGTACATCACCAAATTCTCTTCTTGAAATTCAAAAAAAAAAAGCACATAACTCTAAATTCCAAGTAGAAAATCAGAAGTGTGATAGACGTTATTATTCTTTGTACATTAATGGCATTGAAATTGGCACACCATAGTGGGAGTATTGTATTTTATTAGAAGTTTCATTTTATTACACCTTGGCACAATTGACCCGAAGTGATGTCAGAAAAGAAATAGCTTGCTTAGCCAATAAATGGCTTACTTGGGGCGTTTTTTTTTTCCAGGCGCTCCAAAAAGCTTAAAATATTACTAATTTGCATTAGGAAATAAGGAGTTTTAGAATCACAGAACAAGACTGTTAGGAGCACAGGAGCAGCAACACGTCCATGTAATTTGTACAGAGCAGAAAGCAGTATTTAAGCCATCTGGAACAACAGGTTTACACATTAATCACAACGCTCTTCTAACAAATTAATCTTCTCCCTTGTCAATAACTTACACCCACATTAAAGTAAACTGGTGGTGATAAAGAACAAATAAACCAAACAGGAGGTATTAGTGACCTAGAAATGTGAGGCTTTGATTTAACAAGCCAAAGTGTGTTTATAGCTTTTCAGAAGAACTACTGCAAAGACTGTTTAGGAGCTCTATAGCTGGAGTCTGATCAATTGGAGTCACTTGTTATTTTTTTTTCATCTCTCATTCATGTATTTGACTTAAATGACGGCAATGCTAAATTAGTGGAGCACGTATTTAAAGAATACAATGATGCAGAATCCGATTTATTGGCCAGCTATGCTTACACACACACAAGGAATTTAACTTTGGTGAACTGTGCTCTCTTATGTACAGGTACAACATTAAGTATCAACAATAAACATAATAAGAAAAGACTAATATTTACACGACTAAACATGGAACAGTGCAGTGGTGCATAGTGCAAAAGATGCTGAAGTAACATGATAAGTAATAAGTAGTGACCTTTGTTACTAGTGTGTTTTCTTTTCACTTTGACATTTTGAAGTGGTTGTAAAATGCATACTCTCCAACAAAATATGCACATCAAAAAACCCTTAATTCCACTAATAGCATTAAACACTAGCTATGTACTAAAGCAACACTAGGGCCATATGAGATTGTCTCAAGGTTAGCATCCAAACTGCAGCATAACAGAACACCGTGCTGTTCCAATCAGCCTGTCCTCAACTGTCAGTGTAAGGGTAAAAGCTACGAAATGAGTGCTTATACAACAAACTGCAGATTTAGAGGTCAGAATCAGCATGTTTTTTTTTTTTTGTTAATCAGCTCAATGCTGAAAACAGTAACATCTGATATGCAGCTGTATTATCATTCTCAAGGGTGAAGGAGCTGATTTTTTAATTTACAACACAAGTTACTTTTGGATGCCTTGTCAGTGTGTTTTCTGTTTGCGTGCTTGTGTTTGAGATTCCAGGCAGGCGGGCAGACAATAAGTGGAAGTGTTCCCTGTCCACGACTGTGTTTAATTGGTCAAACAGACCAAAGTGAGCGCGGGGTCCTGTTGGCCCAACAATAAAAAGGCCTTGTGTTTCCGGAGCCTAAGCGTGGGGAGGTCAATGAGAAACAACAACAACGCACTACTCCACGTTCCTGTTACAACTATTCAGAAGCTTCAACAGCACTTTGTGTCTGAAAGGAAAACGCTGAGTTTGAATCTCAGTTCAACATTACAGGGCTAATATAGCTGATTGGCTACAGATTTGTGTAAATGTACAATTTAAAATGACTAAAGTCCACACAATGTTTAGCTTTTAACTAAAAACAGTGGACTAATTGCTATTTTATATCCAACAGCTGCAGAGGGTTCAGTGCAACAGACCATGACAAGGTGTCTGACTCCCTGTTGCAGCACCTGTCAGCCTGAGCAGGTGTATGTCTGGCTGCCTGGATAAGTCATTCACAAACACAGCTTAAAAACAAAGCAGGGGTAAAGCTGACATAAAACGCAAATTATTGAACTCTGTTCTGCACATATATAACGGGCTGAGACGTCTGTTTTCACAACATAAAAAAAGGGCATATCTGCGAGTCATGGCTCATTTTTTGATGACAACTTTAAGCTATGCATAAAGCATGTCCTTACATCATCCAACATCTGCAAGTGTACCCAAACTTGGAGGGCAGAGACACACTAACACACATAATACACCAAGCTGCTCATGTGGGAAATTCTATTTTTACCATCAGGCAGGGCGAGGCTCTGCCATTCAGCACACAAAGTAGGGAAACTATAACAAGAGAGGGAGGGAGGTGGTGTGGGGCTGTCAGGGAACAAAGCGGAAGTGTCCTTCCTCCTGATGACCTGCAAAGGAAGAACACAAAGTGTTCTCTGTGCGCAGACGATGCAGACGATTCTTCGCTCTGTCAATGTAATGTTCAAAAAACACTTTCAAAAAATGCTATGTAAATAAAATTGGAAAAACTTGAATTAAAATGTCTGATGGATTTGATTACTGTCCCTTCTTCACATCATCCACTGTCAAAGTTTCGACTCCTACATCTATGCGGTCTTTAAGTTTTTTTAAGAGTTTCTTTTGTTTTGGTTCCAACAATTCTTGCAAATTACTCAGAAGTGGATGAAGGATCCCTCTTCTCTTGCTCCTCCCAAGATTTCCTCCGCTCTTGCAGGGTAAGCTGATAGTTTAGGGGGACAGAATAAATTCAACTTCCCAATTACAACCACTTTATAGTGGCGCAGTATAGACCTATGACAGTAGTAAAAACCTTATTCATCAAAAGCTGATCTTGTTAGAAATTAATATTAAACATAAAAAGGATGAATAGAGCTGCAGTAGGAAGGTGGTTTCTCTTGAACAAAGCCATCTCTATGTTTAGAAATGGGGACATCAATGAGATATCACAAAGAACAGTTATAGTTTTTGCTTCTACTTGTGTTTGTGATGACAATCCCAGTCCCACCAGAGTCACTCACCTCCTCCAGAGCAGTCACTGTGTTCCTGCAGTGGGACATCCTGGTAGTGAAGTTAGAGGCAGTTGGAGATTTATAATCTTCATTCGTCTCTGCAACAAACTCTGACACTGTGATTTGGTCCGGCATAATTAATCCCTTTGCTATTCAAAATAAACACTTTCCGCTCTCCAAATTCTCGACTGTACAGTTTAATCACTGGAAATATTACAGGAGCGGCCGTAGCAGAGTCTCTAAATGTGCTTGCGGGCAGTAGTAAACCATCTCCGAGTGTGTTTATGTCATTCCCTCGTTTGCTCCCAGTACACTCCTCACACAGCGGTGTGGCACGCGGTGTTTGAGGAGTTGCCGCGCGGAGCAACAACAAGGTGATGGGTAGGTTAAATCCTTTCTGGCTTTAAGCCCACTATTCCGGCTCCATTCACGTTTACAGGTCGTCTCCTGGTAACGGGTGCGAGTAAAGCGTCCTCGATTTTGAGTCTGTTATCGGCTCTCTGTGTTCCCAATCCTCCGACCGAGCGGGTTGAACAACTTCTTCTTCTTCTTCTTCTTCTTCTTCTTCCTCCACGCCACGGGAAACAACAACCGGGCGTTTCAACGGGAGCGCAAGAAATTGACAAAAGGTAGAGGAGGGGATTCAACGGACGCGCATTAGCCAATGGGGAACACCAGCTGGTACTTGAGAGCCAATCAGGATTAATGGAAGGCGTGAACTGCTGCCTTCAAATGCACCTCGGAAACTCAAAGAGTTGTGATTGTATGCGGTGTGCTGTGAGTCCTCATCTCCCTTACCAGTCAAGTGAAGTAGCAGTATATTTGGAACTCATTCAGTATAGGATATATCATGTGTTTAATTTCCAAAAACAAACATATCTTCAAATATATGATGCTGTAAAAGTAGACTACCAAATGGCGTTTACAAACATTGTCAGTGAAGTGAAGTAACCGCAGTTTTAGCTGTAGAATCAAAAAAGTGAGTCAGTTTGCCCCTTGTTTTTAAGATCAAAGAAATATTACACTCAATAAAAAGAAAGGCAACACTTGTAAACATATTGAAGACATTTGACATGTATTAGTTGAATACTCCAGTGCGGCAGATGTTTGTTAGTAGTGAAATATTTCCGAGGGCACGTAAATGCAGCATCTTGAATATATAGCGCCACTTGTCGTTCCTTTCGTTGGAGATGAGAGAAGTTCACTACTGTGTTTACTGATGCAATTTTATAGTTGAACTGTGTTAGGCTAAACTTTCTAATGTATTTTCTTCCAAAACGTTTGGATGGAAATAACCAAATAACCACTTAAAGCTTTGCCTAGAATGATTAGTTTTGAAAATGACCCTTAACTTCAATCCTTTAAATCCTTTCATTTCTGACAAAATGTCAAAAATGACATCAGTAAAGTCATCGTAGGATAAAACATTTGGAACAAAAACAATAGATGTTTTGGATTTTTAAAATTAAAAAAAAAAAAAAGAATCAGTGAATCGAAAAACACCAAGGACTTTGAGTTTTCAGTTGTATCTTTCATCACACTAATTTACACAAGTCTAAAAACATCTATCTAAATTCTGATTTAGTTAAAGGCCTAATTGAAATTCGAAATTGCCCACTGTTTCTGTATAATCCAAACATTCAAGATTTCAGTCATCACCTAAGCTGTTTAGGAAAAGAGTGAAATGATAAAACAAAAATAAAACAGAAACTGCCTCGGCATAAACCATAGTCCGCTGTACAGCACCAGGCCTATATGCAATGTAACGCTCTGTCTTGTAAAGTGAATTAACTAAAGATATGTGTTGTGAAACAGCTGATGAAGAAAGGATAGAGACAGGATTTTGCAGGATCAGCACAGATGCAAGTAATGAGCACTGATATTTTGACATAACAACGTATCAGATAAAAAGACAAACTACACCAGTAATGAAGAGTGAAACACCATCGTCCAACATCCAGAGTTTACATTAAAGTAGACACATATAGTAGAGGCATGTTGATTTTCAGAAGAAATATGATTAAAAGAATACTTTCATCCTCCTAAAATCCTGCTGGGAAAAATGCAGGAGAAAAGAAAACATTATTCATTAGGGTGCCGTCTGAGACTTGTATAAACTTTTTTCTCATGCTTGAATTTTTGTGAACGGGAACTTGGAAAAAAAACAACAGCCTCTGATTCCAGAGTGCTTGCAGTTGTTTTGGGGCTTTGGGATGAAAAATCTGCTGATGTTTCCCGGCTCATTCAGCCCCAACAGGACAGTTACCGGTATAAATAGTATCACAGCGGCCGAGGCAAAAACCCTGGGCAGCCTTTAAATCACAAACTGTGCAGTGTTCACACATTCTTTTAGCTCTGCAGCGTCTCCTGGCAAGCTGCTTAATGAAGAGCTTAAAACCCAGGCTGACCCTGACCGGCTACTCAGGCCTCAACTCCCTTATGAAATAAAGACACACACACTCCCAGCGAACATCTGCTATCCAGAGACAGAGCGGCTCAGTCAGTGAGGTCAGTACAACTAAACACCACCAGCCCTCCTCTGTGCTACTCTGCTCTACTGTATGTCCAGTACCATCTGTCTTACTCAATACAGGTTTTATCCTTAAAGACCAAACCAACCCCAAACTGGCCCAACTGTTAGCGCAGGAGGGTATTTCCCCTTTAACTTAATGGAAACATAAAAAGCAGAATGTTTCATAATTTATTGAATCTGGACAAGCACAAGCAGGACTAACAACTGCATTGTAAAAAGTGTCATGAATCTAGCCTTTCATATATTGACCATGCTCTACTTTTATTGTATTTCGTAATCATCAAAGCCTCACAAATTTTGATTTCGACATACTTCGTTGCTTCTCCTGCAGCTCTCCTAAAAGAAAAGGTGCCTAAGCAGAAGCTTTCCGCCGCTCCACAAAGTGAACACAAGCCTTATTCAGCAGCAGTGCTTTCCTCAATACAGACCTTGTTTGCATGCAAACAACTTGCAGCTTTGAACAAGTGATAGTTGTTGACCCTGCAGTGGTCACGGCGTCTGAATCTGAACATCCTTAAGGGATTTAGTGAGCTACGAGACTAAATAGACTAAATCCATGTGTTTACTTTTCTTTAAAATAAGCAGTGGGATGATGGGAAATTGAAACTCAAAGCAACCAGGTGATGCACACAGAATATGGCTAATAGAGGTCCCAGCCTTAAGATGCCATTAGAACAACATCATCTTCAAAGAGCAGAGATGAAACTCCTGCCCCCGGCTGCGCGTTGAGATTCTGTCCCCAAAAGGAGAAAAGGGACAGCCCTGGCGGAGGCTAAACATTCACAGGGAACGTGTCTGACTTTGTGCAGAGAATGCAGACACAGCTCTCACTTTAGTCATTCAGGGACACGATGGTTCCCTGGGACCCCATACTCCTACAGTACCCCCCCACATGACCCCCCGAGTGACACAATCATAGGACTTGTCCAGGTCTACAAAACACATGTAGACCGGATGAGTATACTTCCATGCCCCCCCCCCCAAAGGGCTGGTCCACTGTCCCACGGCCAGGACGGAATCCACATTCTTGCTCCTGTATTCGGGGTTCGATAATCGGCCGGAGCCTCCTTTCCAGCACCTTGCCATGAACTTTCCTCGGGAGGCTGAGAAGTGTGATACCCCGATAATTGCAAATGTTAGCATGTCCGGTTAATTAGCTTATCATCAATAGTAACACAAGACTTAGTATTCCATTATAGGTCATCTGATTAGCATCTACTTTGAGACTGTAGAGAAATGAAATGAAAAACATATTTTTTTTGCCATTCTGAAACCTACTGTAGTAAAACACATTACTGTGAAAATTGGTGAATAGGTTAATCACTTACTGACTAATATACATACTCTTCAGACCAGGTGAAAACAGTCGGGTCAGAGGTCAGCAATGCGTGTCATTTCACATTGTTCAGTGAACAATGGAAATTCAATTAGCTGGTGGAGATTAAAAATCCTGTGGATGACCATAATATATGACCTGCTCAGCAATGTTTGATTGATTGTGTTTCCTCCTTTAAAAAGAATAACGTACATACTTTAACTTAACCATCAAGTAATTAAAAACCCTTGCTTAACGGAACAAAAGAGCTACATTCAATAGCCATGGATAACTGGATCATAATTTTCCTCTAACCTTGCCACCCTGAAGGACACCCAGGAACTGCCCTGTTGAATAACTGCTTGACATTTCTAGCCCCCACCCCACCCAACATACACGTGAGTGATGATTGCACAGAGCTGGTAGAGGGACACAGCTGCTTCACTATCATCATTAGGAGCAAGTGGCTTTTACAGTAATTATTAGTCCTCAAAGGAGTTGGCACCATGAGCCCGAGCATATTCAATGTCACAGTACTTCATTATATCCTTGCAGGCTGCACATCAACCTGTCCCATCCTCTCTTGGTTTCCCTAGTAACCATAACTGGAGATTTCACTTCCACTAAAGAGCCTTAAAATTCTCCACATACTGTGGCAAGAATAACACATTTTATCTTGCATACTGCAAAGAAGATTGTTCCAATGTTATTTTACTGTTTTTATGTCATCTCATTTATCTAGGTTCTCTTGAGAAAGTATGAGGGCACCTTTAGTGTGCTTTCAACATCTCCTAATAAAAGAGAGGCTGTGAGTTCTCCCTCTCTGTAGTGTTGCTTATTATCTCCTCTGGCCTGCGAGATATGCAAACCACAGGATATTAATTTGTTAAACCGCAGGACAAAACACAAACACTTGATTATGATCTTTGAAACGTTACCAATTCTTTCCCTGTGTGTTGCAAGTAAAGTCATTATAAACGGAGGAAATTCAATTTTGATTTTAATAATACTTATGAGAGCACATGCCTTTGTCTGTAAAAACTTAGTGCATCGAGTGCAAGGTGGCGGTGAAAACCATGCAGAATAAACAGCTGAACGTGTACGTGCCAAATTTAAGTAAGTCTCGCACAGCATCCTGTACACGATCAGCTTCAAGGTCACAAGGTCAATGCAGGTATTTCAATGAGAACTGACCATGCAAAGCTACTCCTTTATCACAGCATCATCGTGTCAGTGTGCACAATTAAATATTTATTCCTCATCTTCATTTCAGCTCCACAGTCATAGTGAACACAGTGCCGTTCCACTGGATCAAGGGATTATTGGAGTAAAAAGTGGTAAGAGTGAGACTACAGTCGTGACATTGTTTCTCCTGTGAGTCATATCATGTAGAACCCCCCCCCCCCCACCCACCCCCCCATTTTTAGTAGCTGCAACCAGTTGACAGAACAGACGTCACTGCTGGGTGAATCTCTTCAGCTCCCACAATAATTCAATTTAATCTATAGGATGAAGAATTAAGAATGCATTAATGATGAAGAATGTGTGTGTGACTCCTCCTGGTCACACACACACATCTCTCATCCACCTGTATTATTGTATTATAGTATGTTCATATCACCTCAATAAGTTATCGACCTGTACAATATGTCCATATTCTTTATATTATCTGTAAACTAGTATAGCATGCTAGGTGCTAAGGTGCTCACTGCACCTTAATCTGTATATTATATTGTATATTATAATCCTA